TTAACCCCAATTGCCTAAAAAAAAAAAAAAAAAAAAAAAAAAATAAACCTATTACAAATGTGTATAGTCATGCAAAACAAAATTTTGTATTAGCCATGTTCTACCCCCTCAAAAAAAAAGCAAGAAAAAAGAAAAATATATGCTTCAATCTGTACTGTGAGTCCATCAGCTTTCTATTTGGAGGTAGATGGCATGTTTCATCATGCATACTTTGGAATTGTGGTGGGTCATTGTGTTGATCACTTGCTAAGTCTTTCCAGATTGATTATCTTTAAAATATTGCTGTTATTGTGTAGATTGTTTTCCTGTTTCTGTTTATTTCACTTTCCATCAGTTTATACATATCTTCCCAGATTTTTCTGAAACCATCCTCTTCATCATTTCTTATAGCATAATAATATTCCATCACATTTAATCAGTTTCCAATTCTTTGCCACCATAAAAAGAGCTGCTATAAATGTTTTTCATTACATATGAATACATTTCCTCTTTCTTTGATCTCTTTGAGGGAAAGCCCTATGAGTAGTATTGCTGGGTCAAAGGTTACAGTTTTACAGCCCTTTGGGCATAGTTCCAAATTGTTCTCCAGTATAGTTGGACCGCTAACAATGCATTAATGTACCTATTTCCCTACAGTCCCTCCAGCAAGTCATTTTCCTGTTTGTCAGTTTAGCTAATCTGAAGAATGTGAGGTGATACCTTAGAGTTGTCTGAATTTGCATTTCTCTAATTACTAGTGATTTAGAGCATTTTTTTCATATGACTGTTGGTAGCTTTGATTTCTTCCTCTGAAAACTGCCTATTCATACCCTTTGACCATTTATCACATAGGGAATGGCGCTTATTGTTGTAAATTTGACTCAATTCCCTATATATTTTAGAAATGAGACCTTTATTAGAGAAACTTGCTACAAAGATTTTTTTTCCCTAGTTTACAGCTTTTTTCCACCCTAATTTTAGTTACATTGTTTTTGTTTCAATCGCTTTCCCAGCAAGATGAATTGTGTAAATGGACTCTCCTTATGAAAGATCTCTTTCTCTGAACTCTCATAGCACTTTGTTCCTAATCTTATGTTTTTTTTAAAGTTTTATTGATTCTTTTTTAATCATTTCCCAAAACCATATCCCAACTCCCCACAAAACCCTCCCTTTTCAGAAAGAAGTATAGTTAAGCAAAATAATCCAACCTTATTGTTTACCTGTAGTCTACCACCTGTCTAATGATAGGAAAGAGGTATATATGAATCATTATCAACCCACTGAAGTCTACTGGTCATTGCATTGAACTGAATTCTGATGCCTTTTAATGTTATTTTCCTTTACATTATTGTGGTCATTTGCTGTCAGCTCTGATACATAGCATAGTTTTTTTGTGTGCATGTCTTATTTAGGCCAGTCCTCTGAGGACTGCCTGTTGCTGAGCCCCTCCTGGAAACTTTTCCAGGGGAATTGAGGCCTGTAGGAGCTAGTACTCTTTTGGCATAGCATTTGAAGTTCCAGGATCCCCTCCATACTGTGGGAATCGAGGGAATTGGAGTTAACTCCATCTTGTGATTTAATTCTGGAACTAGCTCAGTTCCCTTTCTAATCAATTATGGGTCTATGCCCAATTTATGTCTTGTGAGAAAACTTTATTCAATTATAGGAATTGTAAACTTTATTGCATTGTTTGAACCTATCCCTTCACGGCTAGACCACCTCTAGCTGCTACTTAGAGACTCTTAACTAAGGACCTAGGTTATGCTGACCAGAAACCCAGTCAGATCTGAAGACTAAAGCAAGGAGCTTTCTCACAGTTATACATCTTAAGCAACCCATATGTCTTATCTGAAAAATGACCTTGTGCTGGTCAATTAGTTATGGTTTCCATGTTTTTTTGATTGAATAGAGACACCTCTTTTTCTGATTTCAGGGAATCGCACCTGTTCCCTCTCTCCTTCCCCTCTTGGAATGTCTTTCCTCTTTCTTTCCTCCAATTAGAAATCAGATTACTTAATTTTGTATTCTGGTTAACCACTTTCTTTTAATTGTTTTTATTTTATGAATTGTTTTAATGCATAAAAGTCTGTCTCCTCCTGTATTTGGTGTCCAGTGCCATAGCCGAGGGGCCTGGTCCTGATTTGTTAGGCAATTAGCATGCATTGCTTAGTAAATCAATATGCTCAGAAGCTCAAACCTTTGTTTCCTCAGTCATTTCTTCCTTCACCCACCACAAAACCATAATGAGATAGCTAGGTCAAAGTCCTATTTTGATAAATTTAGAGCGGCTCCTCTCTAATTACTTTTTTTTTTGGACTCATGAAACAATCCCTTAATGTATTATGTGTTGGTGGAAGGAATAACCACAAAAGTGAAATAATAGATTTTTTAAAGCATTGAAATCTTACGTTTTCTTATTCCTTCTTTCATCTATTAGCTTGTAATCTGCTGAAAGTCAAGGGCCATGTTCTTTCTTTCTTGCTATCTATCTATATTCTTGCTGAAGATCATACTTTGCTACACCCAGAAATCTGTTTGTCCTGTGTACTACAGTAATAGTTATTACTACAGCAATAGTTTATTGTAAACTATAGGCTTTATTAGGGTCTCTTGCATGATGCCAAGGTCTAAAACCAAAGGCTGTACCCTGGCATAATAAGTGCTTAATATGTGTTTACTGGCTGACTGACTAATTTATATGGGACTTCATCAGCATAGTTGTGTGAGTTCCTTCAGCTCCTTTCAGCAGCACATGAGTATTCACGAAGAAGACAAAAGATAGGATTATTCTGTGGTTGTAGTTAGCAAGGCATAAGTCACAATAATCCAAGGGAATAAAAGATTCAAGAGCAGAGGACAGAATATAATTACATTGGTTAACAACACTGTGAGGTAGATAATGCAAGCATTTTTTTATCTCCATGTTACAGATGAGGAAACTGAGTCTTAGGTTAAGTGATTTGTCTAGGATCAAACAGCTAATAAATGTCAGAGGTAAGATTCAGACCTAGGACTTTTGACTCCAAGAAATCACCTTGTTATTTCTTCTATTTTTGACTGCTAGAATGGCTTTATTTCTCTCATTCTCTCTTCCATCAGGTGAAAGGCCCAGGCATTGGGCTGCTTGGATTCTCCAAAGGGGGTGACTTGTGTCTTTCCATGGCCTCCTTCCTGAAAGGTGTCACAGCCACTGTGCTTATAAATGCCTGTGTGGCCAACACACTGATCCCACTGCACTATAAGGAAATGACCCTTCTTAATATTGGACATGATCTGGAAAGACTCAAGATCACTGAGTCAGGCCTTGTAGACCTTGTGGATATTTGGAATAACCCATTAGAAAAGCTCAACTGCCAAAGCCTCATCCCAATAGAAAAGGCCCAGGGGCCTTTCTTGTTCATTGTTGGTCAAGACGACCACAACTGGAAGAGTGAATCCTATGCATATATAGCCTCTGAACGACTACAGTCTCATGGTAAAGAAAAACCTCAGATCATCTGTTATCCAAACACTGGGCACTGCATTGACCCCCCTTATTTTCCTCCATGTTTAATGTCTGTGCATAGGATGGTGGGCCAAGAAGTGTTCTGGGGAGGTGAGTCAAAGGCTCATTTCATGGCACAGGTGGACATTTGGGAACAAATTCAAACATTCTTCCAAAAATACCTCAAGGGTAAAGACTCTACTTTCCATAACAAACTGTAGCATTTTGATCTTAGGACCGCCATTGTTCTGGGCTGGGCCCGATATAAGCCAATCTTCTGTTAATGTATGTATATTGGAACACAAAGACCTGAGTTCAAATCTGGCCTCAGACACTTGCTAGCTGTGTGGCCCTAGGCAAGTCACTTAACCTTGTTTGCCTCAGTTTCTTCATCTGTAAAATGAGCTGGAGAAGGAAATGGAAAAGCACTTCATATCTTTGCCAAGAAGATTCCAAATGGGGTCACAAAAAGTTGGACATGACTGAAAGGACTGAACAACAACAACAAAAATTGGAACAAATTGAGACACTCGTGGGTCATTAATCAATAGTTAACAAAAGGAGATTTATTTAGGAATAGCAGGAGAAGGATATTCAACAAGGATAGGCACTGAGGACATCTTAAGTTGATTCAGCTAAATGAGGCACCCTTGTCTGAGTTGCCCATCTCTTCTACCAGCCAAGCATCAGGGAACAACTCACAGCAGATTGTACTTTGGCAATCAGGAAATGATGTTAAGAGCCTGAGCCTTTAGTCCCCTGAGCCAATCAAGTATGGAAGATAGTTTCAATACCATTTAAGAAAAAGCTAGCATAAGTTGCACAGGGGTAGGGGTTAGGATATTATTCCCACCATAGCCATAATTTCATGACCATGGGCTCCGTGCTACCACGAAGATTCCTTTTCCTATGACATGACACTGTCATGTGTCTTGCTCTTAAAGGGTATCAAGGTACCACAATATTTAATAACAAGCAAATGAGCTCAGCTCCAAGGGGGTTCTTCCTTGGACCCAAGAATGTTTGACTGAAGTATTTTCTTCATCAACACATAACACCAAAGAGCTCCAGTTACACAAAACCATAACTGTACTTCCAGAATAAAATATATATGTACTTTTACTTAGTATATTGCTGTATGTTTCTAAGAACCTTGCATCTTTGGGAAAACTGGAAAGCAATCTTGTAGAAATTAGTTCTAGAGTCTAAACTTTAGACCAACATCTCACAACACATACCAAGATAAGCTTAAGATGGATATAGGACCTAAACAAATTAGAGAAGCAAGGAAGGAAAGATCTTTTATGACTATGAATAGAGGAAGAGTTTATAACTAATGGACAGAGAGGAACATAGAAGATAAAATGGACAATTTAATTATATAATAATGTTAACTAGCATTTATATATTATAGTGCTATATATTATAATATATACAATATGTTTAACATATGTTAACATTATTGCAGATAATATATATTAATTATATTTATATAATATTGATTATAATATAGTTATAATACATTCTATGTTGATATATTAATTACACGTAAGAATACTAACTACTGTTACCAGTACTGATCTGGTTAGATGAGTTAGATGGTTTCTTTCAATACTAAAATCTATGACTCTCTGTGTATCCCTGAAGAATGTAAGGTCTTTAAAGGGAGGGACAGTTTCATTTTTGTCTTTACATTCCTATATCACTTTGTACATAAAAGATCTTAATAAATGTTTATCAAAATGATTTTAATTTGTTGAATTGAACTTTTATTTTAATATTGAAGAAGCAAAAGCTTAGAAGGAGCAGGAAATAGTTTTAAGGTCTCACACCTTTAATCTGAGTCTCTGGATTCTCAGATCAAACCGTTTCTGCCCACATCATTTTGCCTTTCTATTTTCGCTGCCTTGTATTTTGAGATCCAGTGACAGTCTTATCTCTAGGTCCATTTAGAAATAAACAACAGCAATGGGAATAGCTCTCATTTATGCAGTGCTGCTTCGGAGTTCAAATCTGAACTTGGACCTGGGTTCAAATTCTAGCTCCTATTTACTATCTATATATCCTTTCTTCAACAATGATGTGTTTTGCTTGTACAGAGATCCTGTTTTCTTTTCATCATTACTGCTTCTCTTCTTCCAGATTATCCTTCAATTTCATATATTTGTCTTTTCAATAAACCATTTTCTCTTTTACTTCTTTGGAGAGACTTGCCATTGTGGATTTGAGTTTTTCTATTTTGCTAATTCTTCCTTTCTTTTTTTTTTGGCTTTTTGGTGAGGTAGTCAGGGTTAAGTGACTTGCCCAGGGTCACACAGCCAGTAAGTGTCAAGTGTCTGAGACCGGATTTGAACTCAGGTCCTCCTGACTCCAGGGCCAGTGCTCTATCCACTGTACCATGTAGCTGCCCCCTGCTAATTATTTCTTCTGTGCAGGCCATGGATTCTGCCATTTGGTCTCTATTAGTTTGTTTTTAAGATTCTGATTTTTCTCTTGAACCATTCAGATACATCCTGCTGGGGGGTTCCATGCTCTTTTGGGAATCCACAGGGTTCTTGGTTTCATCTGGTTGTCATTCAAATGTTATTTATCATTGTTGGTTCAATTTCCTTTGCTTTGCAATATTTATTTTGAACCATCTTCCCTTACGTTTTGCTATCTTCCCTGTTGATTTCTCTGCGTGTTCTGTTGGTTTTTAACTGAGTTTTCTTCCTTCTAAGATCTTTGGTGGTTTTAGTCTTCTTTCTTTATATTTCCCTATTACTAATTTTCTTCATCTTCCCCTTTGATGGTGGATCCCTGAGAGTTGGACTTCTGAGTTGTGTTTTCTCCCCTGTTGGGAAATTCGCTTTTCACTGGCCACAGTCCGTTTTCTAAGCAACTTTTAAGGGGACAGGATTAGCCCCAGCTAGATACTAGCAAGTTTTCCTTCATCCCTGGTGCAGACCCCATTCACATGATGGCACCCCAAATTCCCGTTTTTTAGTTCTGTGAATGACCACTTCTGCCTCAGGTCTTCTATACCTCTTCCTCCACAAGTGGGTGGGAAGAATTGAAATCTGGTTGTTGCCACAGACTAGTAGGGTAAGGAGAAGGGAAGGGTGTGGCAGCAGGGAGTTTGCTCAGTTAGTCCTAGAATCATGCATGGGGGACTGAGTGTGTACATTGGGAATTAGTATTCTCTGCTGTTAATTCGAAAGCTGTTAGCAGTCTATCAGGCTTCTGGGCGTTTGGCCTGTGGAGAGGGCTAATTTGTCCTATCTCTTTTGGAGAGAGAGTTGTTGAGAGTGTTCTTGTCCTCCATCTTGCTGGTTGTCTGACCTGGAGATCTACCATTTGTTATAATTGTGACTTTGAGCAATCCACTGAACCCATCTGGGCCTCAGTTTCCTCATCAGTAAAAGGAAGGGCTTGAATTTGCTGTCTAAGTACCTCTGTGCTTTTGGACACGTCACTTAATTTTTCTGGGCTGCAGTTTCCTCATTAATAAAATGAAGGAATTCAACTTGATGGTCAATAGTCTTTTCCAGCTCAGAATATATGATTGGAAGTAAATTAAAACCTGTCCAATCTTTAAGATCAGTTTGACATTCTATGGTAGTTTTAGCCTCTATCTCTCTTATATGTAACACCAAGCACAGCTCTCTGAACAAAGAAAGTGTTTGCTGGTTATTAACTGACTTAATTGTAATCAATAAGGGAGTTATTTCAGAATTAGGAAAAAAATAACCTGTTCACTATAATGCTCACATTTGATAATGAATACTTTTCTTGTTAAGAGCAGAATTAGATAAGAGCTTTCAGGAATTTGAAAGTGATTTATTGGTCTACTGACTCATGTCAAAGAGCACATTCTTTCGGATCATTAAAATTCTGAAGCTGCTGTGTGTTAGTAATCTATTAATGTCTGTGACATATCCAGCCTTGGCCCGGACCCCATACTCCCTTTATTTGTTTGTTTGTTTGTTTATTTATGTATTTATTTATTTTTGGTGACTGCTTTTTTAACATTTTCATCTGTGTTCTCTTTTCCCTGCCTCCCTTCTTCCCATCTCTACCTAACTCCTATTTCAGTGGTCTCCAAGGCAACCCTACTCCCCCCAGCCGTTGGGCCATAGCATAATGCCGAGAGATAACCAATTACAGGGCTAGAAGATGGCTAAAATTCCTCTCTCTGATAGGAAGGTTTGTCTCCAACTCAACTCCACCTGCCCTTTACCCATTATCACCTGACATTTTCGCCACTGTGCCCTCTACAATGGCTATGCAAACTCCCAACTTCTCCCGTTCTTTGCCAGGCATACACCCCATAATCTTGGTGACTAAAAACCCTGCCCCACTGTTGGCTTTTGATGGGGCAAAGCAAATAGCACAAGCTACTTGAGCAGGTATGGATAGGCTGCTGATCTCATTCTCTTTACCTGAAAACCCACCCCTCTTGCAAACTTCCCTAAAATAGGGAGCCACACCCTACTTCTGGTCACTCCGTTCTGAAAACTCTGTATTATTTTTGACTCCTAACTCTCCTTTAATCCACATATCCAATTAGTTGCCAAGCCTTGCTGCTTCTACTTCTACAACATCTATCCCATCCATTCCCTTTACTCCACTTTCATAAGCCACTTCAGGCCCTCGCACCATCTTGGCTGGACTCTGACAATAGCTCCTAATTCGTCTCTTCTTCTAGTCTCTCCCTATCCAATCCAACCTCACAGCTGCCAAATAGATATTCCTCAATGGCATATTCTAGCTGTCACTCCCCTTTTCAATGACCTCCAATGGTTCCTTATCAACTAAAAAAATCAAGTATTATTTCATCGTTATCTCATCCTTTTCATTTTTTGTTGATTTTTACAAACTCTTGACAACTTCCATTCTGGTGGAGAGGAACGAGTGAACATTCTCCACCAATGAAGGATACTGGTTCAGTAATACCTGTATATAAGCAACAAATAAGGAAAAATGTGTATATGTGTGTGGGTGTATATATGTATATATAGGGTGTACAGGATGTTCAGGGAGGACTAGCATCTCTGCTGTGAGGGCTTGCCCAGCTCTTTTCTGAGCTGTTCATCTACCTTTGGTGTGCACCTGGCACTTTAACTCTCACCTGTGGCTCCAAGAAGCTGTAACATGCGCAGCAGCCACACTCCAATAAGCAATCTCAGCAGACGGGCTAAATCAGGTTGAAGGTAACCAACAGACCTCAAACCCATTGATGAGTTAGTGAGGTGTCTACCCCAAGCATGTGAAGACGTCCCCCAGGGGAATGGGCAGATGAAAACAATTTGTTCCAACGGCGATAAGGGCTGCTGAAGCAGGTGTCCTGGAACGCTTAGAGCTTGGTCAGACATTGAAGACGACAAGGTTATCCACTGCATCCCTGGGGCCATCACTAGTCTTCCTGACTTTTGTCTTGCCACTAGACTTCCATGACTCTGGAAGAGAGAGTGAGGCTAATAACTTTGTATAACTCAGCCTCACTTAAATCCAATTTATAAGTGAGTCAAGATATTATCCATGATGTCACTGGTCCTCTTCAAAAACGGAGGGAACAACAGCCACAACAATATTTGGATACATTAGCAGTGAGCAATCAAAAGTTTGAAGACCATCATTTTATTTCAGGGAGGGTCTCTTGGCCTCATTTGTACTAGGTTGTTTGTTTCCTTCTACTCTTCCCTCTATTTTAACCAAAATGTCATTGATAAGAAGGAAAACACAAATATCATTGAATAAAATGAGTTTTACATTTGATAAAATTGTACTTCCCTTTTAGGCTGCCTTTTTGTATTTTTTAATTGATAACTGATGTCACAATAGAAAATATCCTTTATGTGACTTCCTTTTAGAGTCATCGTTATCAATCTATACGGCAGGACACTGGCCATTGAGGGAAGAGTAAACTTTTGTACACATAAAATTTAATTTAAAAAAAATTTAAAAACCTGTTGGTTGCTGAACAAACGGCTGAGCTGCTTGAGGGCCCTAAGGTTGCAGCACTAGCAATTTCTCTGTTTCTGTGGGGGATATGTATGACCTTAGGTTCACCTTCCACTCAGTTGCCCTCTGAACACAAGACAGTGGAGTCAGCAGTAAAAAGTACAACTTCCAGTGAAAAATCTTTGGGACTTGACCCCAGGCAGCATTTCTTGAGCTGGGGGTGAAATTAATTATGTACTTTGGGGAGCATAACAGAATCAGCTCTTTGAGAGTCAGGAAGTGACCTTCATGGGAACTCCTGGGTTTGATATAGCCAGGATTGGGAAACAGTGTCACCTGGTGGACACCCCGGAACTTAACCAAAGGCCCCACTTGAAATCAAAAAGCATTTTTACATCCTCAAATCACAGACTCTTTTTACTCCCAAGGGAGTAGAGGGGATGCAACACAGCTGAATTTCTGTCTCCCTCAAGGGAGGCATCCTGTGCTATCTGCTCATCTTCTTACTTGTCATCTCCAGCTTCCAACAAGCAATCAAACATTTATTAAGCTCCTATTATGTACCAGGCACTGTGCTAAGTGCTGAGGATACAAAAAGAGGCAAAACAGCCCTTGTCCTCAAGGAGCTTACAATCTAATAGGGGAGACCACAATCAATCAATCAACATTTATTAAGTGCCTACTATGTGCCAGGTGGCTGGAATTACAAAGAGGCAAAAGACGGTCCCTAACCTCTGGGAGCTTACAATTTAGCAGGGGGGGGGATAACAATCCATTGACATGGATTAAGCTCCTACTACGTGCCTCGCTAGGGTAGCTAGGTGGGGCAGTAGATTGAGTTCATAAGTCAAGAAGACTCATCTTCCTGAGTTCAAATGTGACCAAAGACATTTAATATCTGTGCGTGTGGGTTCAATTGATAGCTTTTATGGGGAAGATACTTTATCAATGTAGCCATTTGGTGAAACGGATTGTGCGTCATTCATACTGGATCTAGACAACGCCTATTTCAAGGTGATAACTCCCGGGCAATACGGGCTACTAAATTATATTTCAGTCCCAATCCAAAGTTAATACCCACCTGGTAGGAGAATACGGAAATTTAGAGACACCTCGGCTTGTAATTTTAAATATACCTATTGTTAACCTGTAGCTCATTTTCTGAATTTTCACCATTTTTTTATGAAAAGGAAAGCCCCACAAGTGGCTCCTGCCACCCCTGACCTCTCTGACCTCGAGCATGCCACTGCTTCAAGATTCTACCCGTGTTAAACGAAAGGCGTTGGACGAGATGCGTTCTCAGGTCCCTCTCCGGAGCCGGAAGCGTCCCCTTCTCCGTGCCCCGCCAAGGAGCACTTCCCCAGCCCCGGGCTGAGCCGGGTCCAGCCGAGCCGCGCGCCGGAGGGAGGCCGCGGCGCACGCGCGGACGCCGAGAACGGCCGGCGGGAGGGCTGGCTGGCTGGCTGGCGGGCGGGGGTGGGCGGTGCTGCAGTACCATATCCCGGCCCCGGCAGGTGCGGTGGCGCTAGACCTCGCGCGCCCTGCCCCGCGCTGCCCTTCCTCCCCGGGCGCCCTCCTCGGCGGCCGCGGCTCTCGGAGCGTCCCGTCGCCAGCAGGCAGCGGCATGTGGCGGTCGGCCGGGGCCGGGGCCGCGCTCCGGGGCCTGTCGCGCTTCGGCCGGCAGCCCCTCCGGGCCCTCTCGGCGTCCCCCCGCGGTGCCCCGAGGGGCGTGATGCTGAGCGTGACGCCCCCCGTGGGCCTGGCAGACGAGCCGGTGCACATCCAGGTGCGGGGCTTGGACCCCGGCGAGCCCGTGACCGTGCGGGCGCTGGCCGTCAGCTACTACGGCCGCCTCTTCCAGTCGCGCGCCCATTACGAGGCCGACGGCGTCGGGACGCTGGACCTGACCAGGGACTCCTCCCAGGGCGGCGACTACACGGGCGTGGAGCCCATGGGGCTGATGTGGAGCCTGACCCCGGCCGGCATGGAGAACCCCTACGTCCGCATGGTGCAGCGCAGCGTGCTCAAGAAGCCGCTCAGGCTGGAGGTGACGGTGCACCGGGCGCACAACCAGACCGGGCTGCTGCTGGGTCAGGTGCTGGCCTCGGCCAGGGTGGAGCGCTGGTATGCCACCCCCGAGATCCGGGCCATCCGGGTCCGCGAGGGCGCCGTCCGGGGCTCCTTCTTCCTGCCCGCAGGTGCGTCAGCCGGGGTCGCCTCTTTAGCCCTCTTCTCCCGTCCCCCCAGCCCTTCCAGCGCCAAGCAGGTTTTATTTCGTTTTGTTTTACTAGGATATCGCACAGCAGGGCTTTCTCGGAACCCCACCGAGATGCAATCCGATGCAGTAAACGTTTTTTAGGTGCAGTGGGCTAGGGATGCCTGGGCAAGACCTTCCTGCCGTCGAGGTGTTTTCCTTCTACAGAGCAGTAAATAGTTATAGAACACTTTTAAGGTTTCCAAAGCGCACATCATAAACATAAATCAACATTTATTAAGTGCCTACTATGTGTCAGGCAATATATAGGATAAATAGGAAATAATTAAAAAAGGAAAATCAGTAAGCACTTATGAAGAGCCTAGTGTATGCCAGATACTGTGCTAAGCACTGTAGAAAGAGGCAAAAGACAGCCCTTGCACGCAGGGAGCTTACAATCAAATGGAGGAGACAACCTGCACATATATGCAAAACAATCTTAATAGAAAATAATTAAAAGAGAAAGCAATCAGTCAGTAAACATTAGCACCTGCTATGGAACCAGGCACTGTGCTAAGTTCTGGGAATATGGAAAGGGGCAAAAGACAGTCCCTGTTCTCAAGGAGCTTACGTAGGGGAGACAGAGTAAGCTATATACAGGAAAAATAGGAAATAAATAAAAGAGGGAAACCAATCAGTAAACATTTGTTAAGCTTCTACTATGTGCCAGGCACTGTGCTGAGTGCTAGGAATACAAAGAGGCAGATGACAGTCCCTCCTTCAAGGAGCTCACAATCCAATGGGGGAGACAACGTGCACATAAATATATACAAAGCAATCTATATACAGGATAAATAGGAAATAATTAAGAGAGGGAAAGCACTGGAATTAAGAGGAGTTGGGGAAGCTTTGGGTAAAATGTGGGATTTTAGTTGGGACTTAAAGGAAGCCAGGGAGGTCAGTAGTCAGAGTTGAGTTCCCGATGATCCTCACAAAATGAAGATAAAATAATAGCACCTATTTCCTAGGTATTTTCTCTATTCACTTACCTAGGAAATAGGTGCTATTCTTATTCCTATTTTACACATTGAGAAATGAAAGAGTCTGAGGTCAGATTTGAACTCTGGTAGTACTGATTCCAAGTCCAGTACTCTATCCACTACACCACCATTTACACAGTTATTTAAGGAGGAGAAGAGAGTAAGATTGAGGAGAATCAGGAAAGGCTTCTAGGGGGACAGTGTACCTGAACTGAACCTGAAGGAATTTAGAGATTCTAATAGGCTGAGAGGAAGAAGGCTTGCATTTTAGTGTGGAGGATGCTTATACATAAGAATTGAATGCAGAAAGCTGGCCTGCTGTCCTAGCCTATTTACCAGTATCTGAAATCAAAGCAGGGAGGAGGAGGTGATCCCTTGGGAGCCTGTCTCTAGGTCTCTGATTAAATTATTAAATAACATGGGACTCCAGAATGAAGGGGCTGGAGGGCAGGAAAGGGATTAGCCATACACGTGCATTCAGGTTTGCATTAGAAAGAAGAATTTGGAAGCAAGAGAAGTTAGCTTGCCAGTTAGTCAAAAGTATGTGCAGCTGAAAAGGATATTAGAGGTCATCTAGTTGAAGTCCTTTATTTTACAGATGAGGAAACTGTTTAGGTGATTTATTCCAGGTCACAGAGGTAGTGAATGTCAAAGCCAGGATTCTGTCTCAGGTATTCTAAAAACCAGGTCCAACAAGCATTCCAGGCACCACTACCTTTCCTGCATGTGACATTTACATAACATTGAATTTGACAGTTTAGAAAATAATTAAACCTTTTTCTTTGGCATAAAGTTCAGTTCCCTTAAAAAAAAAACCATTGAGTTTGGAATTTTGAGAACCTAAGTTAAAATCCTACTTTGTTCCTTACTGCCTGCTAGTCACTGGGCCTCTTTCTGCATTTGTAAAATGAAAAGATCGAACAAGATCTGATTCTCAAACTTTTTTTCTGCTCACAGCACAACATTCTTTGCTGTGAGAAATCGTGGCAATGTTTTAAGTTGGCAACAAAGAAGGGTTCCAGACCTGTTATCCAGGACTTGGGATTCCTTGACTCTCATAAGAGGCAGCTAGGTGTCTCAGTGGATAGAATGTTGGGCCTGCAGTTAAGAAGACCTGAATTCAAATTCAGACCCAGACACTTAGTAGCAGTATGACCTCAGGCAAGTTACTCACCCTCTGTTTGCCTCAGTTTCCTCAGCTGTAAGATGGTGATCATATTAGCGTCTACTTCTCAGAGTTCTTGTGATGATCAAATGAGATAACATTTGCAAAGATAGTTGCCACAGAACTGCTTAGCTGCCGTTATTATTATTAACTCTTCTCTGCCCCGTCACTTTCTTCTGTTTTTGTTACTTCTCCAAGCCTCTAATCAGAAGAGGCAGCTTTGTCCCTGCATGGATAGAGATGCTATTGTGACTTTCTTGACACCAGGCTAGGAAAAACGGGAAGCATGTGGAGGACTAAGGATGTAGGGAGGAGTCTTGAGGCATACCCTCTGAGATCACTGAGCTGGACGAATCCGAACATCCCTTTCAACTCTTAAGTCTATGATGCTTTAAATAGAACAAGTGTAGATTTTTTGGCAAATCCATCTTTTGCTTGTTTGTTGTTGACTCCATTGACTTGGGAGAGTATGCTTTTTTTTTTAAATTATGTGCTTCTATAATAATAATAAAGCACTATAAATATTAACTCATTTTATCTTCTCAACGACCTTGGGAGGTAGATGCCATTTGATAGATGAGGAAATTGCAGGTAAGTGACGTGATCTAAAAAATAATTGTCTACACAGCCTTTCATATCTTGTGCAAAACTAGACATTTTAAAGTTGCTTTTTAAATACTTTATTTCAGAATAGCTGAAAATAAAGTATTTATTTCAGTCAGAATTCCTTCCTATCAAAATAGAGATTGAAGAGATTGGAAACATATAAGATTAGTGATGTTCTAGCAAGAAGGTAAAGAGAAAAGTTCATAGAACTCATCTTTTCATTTCTTCTCTCTCCCCCTCCCCAGTAGATACAATAAGTAAGGGAAAGGAAGGAAAAGGTGGAGAATAAAGGGCCTGCAAAGAGAATATCCTTTCAGAGAACTAAGGAATGAGCAAACATCAGGAAAAAACTCCAGTATGATTGTCACATACTATGAGTTAAAAGATCTAAAGAGAAGTCAGCAGAAGAAACTCACAAATTAGCCTCAACAATGACCTAGTTTATGAAGCTGGACCTAATCCAGGACACAACAGACTGAATAGTAAGTGCTTTAAAGGAAATGAAGAATAATCTATTGTCAATAAAGTAACATCTGGCCTCTCGAATGAGGTATCTATCATCAGTAAAAATGGAGTAAGTAAAACTTATAAAAGTTAAGGTGGTAGAAATTTGAATGAAGGAATGTAATCATTGGAAAATAAAATTCTCAGATTAAAAGTGCAGTAAGGGATAGAAAATGAAATAAAACAAGAACTAATTGAATTTGAAAGTAGAAAACACTACAAGTAAAGATAATGGAAGATGGAGCTCAGAGAGTTCTGAAAATTATGGAGTTACTGAGAAAAAAATACAGAATCTAATCCACCATTAGAAAGGAAATTGATCAAGAAAATTTGCCCTAGTCAGTAGGACAGTGGGACAAACCTGTAGAGTTCACCAGATGTCCTAAAGAGAAATATCGTGTTTAGTTCACCCAGACTCATTGTTAAACCACTCCAGAGATTCACCTGTAAAGAGAGAATCTTAGAAGAGGCTAGGAAGAAAAGCATTACCCACCATAAGGTGCTCTAATTTGTATCTTCCAGAATTATTTATCTGATATGGGAGGAAAAAAAAAACCAGTGGGAAAAGCTGGAACATAATTTACTGGAAGTCAAGGTGAACTATACTAAAGTTCATGAAATTTACTATCCAACTAAACTAAGAGTAACTTAGTTTAAAAAGAATTTTTTTTCCTATCTGAGTGGGGGTGAAATATCACTCAGGGTAAGCAGAACCCCAGAAAGGTTACTATGATTTGCAGCAGTGTCAATTAAAATGGAAAATTGTTATGTGTGTGTTATAAATTATTGAGTACAGTATTGTAGATTGTTGTATTTATGTTGTTCTTGATGGTTTAAATGTTAAATGTGTGTGTAAAAAGTTAAGAGTGAAATTGTATTTAATAGACAAACTAGAGGGGTTTGCCCTATACTCAAAGTTTAGTATATACATTCTGCTGTTGCACTTGTAATGACCAAAAATCATGGGAGAACAAGGCAACAAGGGCTTTAACTTAGTTAACAGGTGGCTAGGAGCTAGATAATTTTGACTGACAACTAAAATCACAAAAGAGAATGGAGCAGGATGAGAAAGATCAATAAATTAACAAAAAACATTCATATACTTAGGTGTTTTTTGTTTGTTTTAAGCAAAGAGAACCATGATCAAGAAGAGGAATTCTTTGATTGTAGACATCTCAAATATTGAGCGATAAAGGGAGAGTATGGAACAGTTGGTGATCTTAGGAAAGGTGAGAGATTGGGGCAGACCCTTAAGTGTGTGTGTTTGGTGGGGCGAATCGGGGCTCGAATCTGATAAATTAATTCAATCAATCCAGAAACTGGCTAGTATTGTGGGTGTGGGTGGGTTGGAGTGTATGTACAAAGAAAGGGAGCTAGGCTGTGGTGGCCTCGTCCATAATCCCTGCTACTGGGAAGACTGAGGTCAGTAGATTGCTTGAGCTCAAGAGTTCTGAACTATAGTAGGCTAAGATAGATGGTCAGGTGTCTGGACTCATCCAACACCAATGCAGTGAGCCTCTGGAAGGAGGGATGAACTGGCTCAGGTTGGAAATGGAGCAGGCCAAACAGCTTCTGCGCTGGTCAGGGCTGTGGGTGGCCACTGCACTTCTACCCTGGTTGAGGTACCCATTCTCCAACAAAGAAAGGGGAAGAGGTAAAACTTCAGGGAAAACTATAGCAAGTAGTTCT